GAGGCATAGACCACGACTGGAGAGACCAGCGCGGACCGAGATGGAGACGCCAACCAGCCTGGAGAGACCAGCGCGGACCCGTTTGGATCCAGGAGCGTGCAGCAACGGGACCCGTAGGAGAGACCATTGCAGACCCGTATGCTCCCATGGGATTGAGCAGTGCAGACCCTTATAGATCCTAGGAGAGACCATGTGCCAGACCCGTATAGATCCATAAGGAGAGACAGTGCAGACCCGTATACAGTAGAGCTCCAATCACTAGCGACCCTCCTCTATTAAAAGCCTCCTGAACCAGGCCCGCGCGCCCCTCTTGAACTCTGCCAACCGGGCTGGCCTGATGGGGCTCCGTAGCTAAGGGACTACGCACCTATTCGTCAGGAACTTAATTACATTAGGTAACTATTATTTCCTACGTCATGGTATAACGTCCCTTAGGCCTTCGCTAGTGGGACACAACGCGGCGGGCCGTAGGAACAATGGTACGCCCAGCAAGGCCACAAAGAGTGATTGGAGCCTCCGCCCAGCAAGACCCCACACGTGAGAGGACTCAGGGGCAAAGAATAATCCAATTCGTGTTACAGGGCCGCTCCTCCCAAGAGACACCCCCCAAGTTTTAACAGTATTTTTCAATCTGGGAGAGACTTTGAGGAGACAAAATGCATTTGAAGTTTTTTATTGAAAGGTAGTTTGGCGCCCTAGGCCCCGGTGCAGCGTTCAGTCAGCGAGGCTCCTGCGAGAGTGCGCGCACAATCCCCCGGGACCTAGGCACTGGTGGCGGCATTCGGGCAGCAGGAAGAGGCATGATTGAGGCAGGGTGAGAAAAGGGAGGAGGAGGGGAGGCGGTGGTTTGCAAGGCTTCGAGGAGGCCGTAAAGTGGGAGTTTCTTTGCTTTTAAGCGGCTGGCCTGGCCGGCATAGGTTGGTTGGAAATGGGCGTTTGCTGTGCGATAGGCTGGGGATGCGAGGCCGGCCTGGAACGGGTGGCTTTGGCTGACGTCTTCCAGAATTGAATTTCCGCGAGGCTGCATTTCAATCTGGAGAGACTTTGAGGAGACAAAATGCATTTGAAGTTTTTTATTGAAAGGTAGTTTGGCGCCCTAGGCCCCGGTGCGGCGTTCAGTCAGCGAGGCTCCTGCGAGAGTGCGCGCACAATCCCCAAAAGGCTGTGCGTTTGATGGGGTTTTAGGCAGGCCTGGTTAGCAAGGGACACCTTGCTAACCAGCAAGGTGCACCGCTATATATAAAGGCACCGCTATTTATAAAGGCAACACTATTTATAAAGGCACCGCTATATATAAAGCACGCTAGAGCGCAGCGCCTATCCGTAAAGAGTGAGCTGTGTAGAGATGAGGGGACAAGTTACAAAGTAGCAGTACGGACTCATGGGGAGGTTGTCGGGAGTGAGGAATAACGGTCTGTTGAGATCTCCTTTCCGAGAGCGGAGACGAGTGTACGCATCATGGATCTTGAAAGTGTGCTGGAGCAAAGTGCGGCGCAGAGCTGGTGGAGGATGGACAGTGTGATGGGGCGCCTGTGGTCCGAGGAATGAGGGGTGCAGTTGTGAATGCCTTTGATGACGAGTTTGATCGAATAGAGAGGAGAAAGCGGGGTTGTGACAGCGGGCCTGGAATTGGATCCCGGTGAGAAGAGAGCGAATGTAAGAGATCTTGTAGAGGAGATTGTCCGCACAGTGAACTAAGAAGGCGCAGATGGTACATACAGAGAACGGAATTAGGGGAATGCTGTGAGCGTAGCAAAAGCAGGAGTAGACTTTTCAAGCAAAGCAGTAAGATTTCAGCGTGGAAAGTGAGAGGCCCATTTTCATGTAGGATGACGCGGAGGAGAGGAGAAGGTGAAGAGACTGTGGGACTAGGCGAGGGATTCCATGGCGTTGAATTGGCAGAGTGGCAGAGGCGTCGGAACTCCTGGAATTTAAAAACGAGAGAGACAATCAGCAATACAGATAAGCTGACCAGGGACGTGACGAGCAGTGATGATAAATTATTTAGGACTGAGAGCCATGTGATGCGTCTGAGAAAAGGCATGACTTGGGGAGAGGACGAACGACCTCTGTTAATTATTTCTACCACGTCGAGATTATCACACAACACAGAATCCTTTTCTGTGCCACGTGTGGCTCCACGGCGCGCAGGCCACGGCTACGGGATGTATTTCATGGAGGGCGGAGGAGATGCTTCGAGGGAAGGAGTCGGGCCGGGCCGGGGCCCGGCAAACCACTGGTCCTGGAAGAACCCCCCAAAACCCATGGACGGGGCTGCGTCCGTAAAGAAACGCAGGGCATCGGGGGACGGGACGACGTCGCTGTAGAAAAGATACGTCGTTCCAGCGGCTCAGCAGACGGGACCAGAACGCTAGGTCGGAGCGGCACCCGGCGTCCAGGGAAACAGCATCATGGAGGGAGGGGACGGGGCCAGCGAGTGAGAGGAGTCTGGAAATAAAGGAACGACCCTGAGGGATGATGCGGATGGCATAATTGAGGTGACCGAGAGGGAGAGCAGCTGACGCGTTGAAAGTGACGGGGAGGACAAGGCAGACCGGGAGAAAGCGCGGATGCGCCCAAGCTTGTCCAGCGGGAGGGAGGCCTCCACGGCGCGCGTGATGAGGCGGATGCCGAGAACTCCAAAGCGGTGGCGGGGCCGGTGGTCTTCTCGGAGTGAAGGAATCCGAGGGCAGAGAAGGCGAGCTTGAGCTTGCGGAAAGAGCCCCCGGAGCAGTCTGAGGGTGGGTCGACTACGAGGAAATCATCGGGGAGATGCAGGACAGAGGGGAGCCGCGCGTAATTAAGCAGAATCCGACACGGCGCCTCCGAGAGATTGTTGAACAGAGAGGGACTACTCCGGCAGCCAAAGGTGAGGCGCACGGTGAGGAAGAACTCTGACGCCGCTTGACCCCTGAACAGCGCCAGTGGTCGGGGTGGATGGGCAGCAGCTCGAACGCGTCCGGGATGTCGGCCTTGGAGAGCCATGAGCCGGGGCCGAAAGTCTTTATCAGCCTGATCGCGTGGTCCACGGTAGCGGACTGCAGGGAGAAGGGCGCTGGAGGGAAGGGGCTGTTGATGCTCGGGGCGGGCCCGGAGCGGGGACAGGAGAGGACGAATATGAGACGCTTCTTCCTGGAGCGCTTGCGGGTGGCGATGCCCATCGGGTTAGAGCGAGACTGAGAGAAGGGGCCAATGACGTAGCCCACGGACACCTCCCGCGCCAGAGCCGCGCAACGACTTGGGGCTCACGGAGAGCCGGAAAGAGGTTGCGGGACACGAGAGACGCCGAGGGACCTAAACAGAGCTTGCAGTCCAATGTGAGGGATTTAAACAGAACTTTCAGTCCAAAGTGAGGGATTAAAACTGAGCCCGCAGTCCAAGTGAGGGGTTTAAACTGAGAGCCTGCAGTCCAGTGTGAAGGAGTTAAACGACAACCCAAGTGAGGGATTAATACTGAGAGCTTGTAGTCCAAAGAGAGGGATTAAAACTGAGAGCTTGCAGTCCAGTGTGAGGGATTCAAACAGAGCCTGCAGTCCTAAGTGAGGGATTTAAAACTGAGAGCTTGTAGTCCAAGTGAGGGATTAAAACCGAGAGCTTGCAGTCCAGTGTGAGGAATTTAAACAGAGCTTGAAGTCCAAAGTGAGGGATTAAAACTGAGCCCGCAGTCCAAGAGAGGGGTTTAAACTGAGAGATTGCAGTCCAAGAGAGGGGTTTAAACTGAGAGCTTGCAGTCCAGTGTGAGGGATTCAAACAGAGCCTGCAGTCCTAAGTGAGGGATTAAAACTGAGAGCTTGCAGTCCAATGTGAGGGATTCAAATTGAGAGCTGCAGTCCAAGGAGAGGGATTTACCAGAGCTTGTAGTCCAAGAGAGGGATTTAAAGAGAGCCTGCAGTCCAATGTGAGGGATTTAAAGAGAGAGATTGCAGTCCAAGTGAGGGATTAAAACTGAGAGCTTGCAGTCCAATGTGAGGGATTAAAACGGAGCTTGTAGTCCGAGTGAGGGATTTAAACAGAGTTTGTAGTCCAAGAGGGGGATTTAAAAAGAGCCTGCAGACCAATGCGAGGGCTTTAAACTGAGAGCTTGCACACCAATGCGAGGGGCCAACTGAGCCTGCAGTACAAAGCGCGGGGCCAAAACCGAGCCTGCAGTACAATGCGAGGGGAATAAACCGTCCGCAGGTCAGCATACTTACCCACAACGCCAGAAGACAAGGAAAACAACGGGACCACACCGTACCGGTACAAAGAGGCAGGGATGCGCACAGCTCCCACCGCACCGGTCCAGACCGGCCGTATGCAGCAGCAGGCCGCGACGAGACGAGCAGCGGCGAACCCGCAGAAAGAGACCGCAAAGGAGGAGAGCGGCAAAGACCCACGGACCACAGCAGAGACCCGCAGCAGGTGCAGCGACACGGAGGAGGAGCAGACCACACGCAGCAAGACAGAGGACAGCAGGGACACGCACGAGTAAGCGTGAGTAGACGAAAGCGATTCCTCCAGAACGACTCTTTGTAAGGCTTCGAGAAGGCCGTAAAGTGGGAGTTTCTCTGCTTTTAAGCGGCTGGCCTGGCCGGCATAGGTTGGTTGGAAATGGGCGTTTGCTGTGCGATAGGCTGGGGATGCGAGGCCGGTCTGGAAGGGGTGGCTTTGGCTGACGTCTTCCAGAATTGAATTTCCGCGAGGCTGCATTTAATATAATTCTTGCATTTAAGGTCTGCAGAGTCTTATGTGCTAATTTATGCAAAAATAGATTACTATGACGACCTATAGAAAACAATTCTAATAACCCCTTAGTGCGTTGAGTCTCTTCAGATTTAAAAGATATAAACTATAAGGTTAGCATAGTTTCGAAGAATGAAACAAGATACTGTATTTTGTTGTTGGCAAAGTAATTAGAAAATGCAGTCTTCTGAATCCGATGTAATTAGTGTAATTTCACATTATTTTGCAGACCTGTCTCCTGTGTTCTAGCTCTGAAGTACTGTTCTTCTGAAGCCTACCTGTCCAGGTTGAATCCAGCTCTTTCAGGACCTTCTCCATAGACATTTCTTTGACGGCTCTGTCCACAATGGCCCTCACCTCATCCTCGAAGCAGTGTAAATTCAGCTGGAGCAGGTCGGCAAGGCTCGTCTCCTGCAAGTGGAACCCTGGGTTATTGTGGTAGCTTATACTATTAGTTATGTCTAATATTATTATTCCCCATGAACTATGAAAGGTTCACGTGTGACACCCTGGGAGAGCTATGGTAACTTTCACAGATAGGTTTGAGCGATATGGCCAAAGAAAATATACCACAGTAAGAGAATATATCATAGAAGGAGAATTCATAATAACAATATAATTTGTGATATAAAAACCACTGGGAAAAATCTTTAAGCCTTTTCAACATTATAAAAAAAAAATATATTTTAAAAAAAAACGTAATTCCTCCGTCTTATTGCTTTTAAAACAGTTTGGCTCTATCACATGCATGTAATTTTGGACTCAAATCCAATCTTCTGCTTTTACAGACAGAAAAGTGAAAAGGAGTGGAACACCCTCACTCGGCCAATCAGCTCTCAGTATGTACAAGATAACATGTTTTTTAATAATTCATACAGCTTTGTTAAAAACCATGTCATGTTGTGGTCTGATTTTTTCACAAAATGTTATGTGTAACCCAATGTCCCTGCCTGGGAGCTGTCTTAGTACTGCATTGCGTGGCCTCGGTCTTTGTTCTACAGCCTGAGTTCTGGATCCACAGCCTGTCTGTCCGTGGGAGCAGATCCCTAAATGATGTACTGTAGGGTTTCTCATTTTTCTCCCACTAGGTTTTTTGAGCTTTTCCTTTCTGGTGCAGGAGGTTCTAAGGACAGTGGTGATAATCAAGGACACTCCACTTTCAACTACATTTATGGACATATAGGGCGGCACGGTGGCTGAGTGGATAGCACTCTCGCCTCTCAGCAAGTAGGTCCTGGATTCGAATCCTGGTCGGACCAGGGCCTTTCTGAGTGGAGTTTGCATGTTCTCCCCGTGTCTGCGTAGGTTTCCTCCGGGTACTCTGGTTTCCCCTACCACTAAAAACATGTCCAATAGGTCTGGCATGCGCCTCCTGTACTGGCGACCCTGCTCCCATCTCTGTGAGGAGTGAGAGGACAAATGCCCAAAAAAACTAAAAACAATTGTAAACCGCTTTGTGACTCTAGTCTGTGAAAGGCGGTATATAAATAAAGATGACTTACTTACGTACTTACTATATGGGTCATCTGCCCCTTATGGACCAATGGTTCAATGTGTTTTTTAATCATTGCATTTCCTGTGTTTGATCATGCTTGATTCTCTGATCTGTGTTATAATTTAGGGCGCTCAAACATAAATTTAAAATATGGCCAAAGGTGGTACTGCAACCTCTCCCACTCCCTGACTCAGGTTGCCAGATATGCAGACGAATCCAGCTGGGACCATAAAATCGAATAATAATAATAATAATGAATAGACAAGAGTCAACAACAAATCTATAACTGACCCCTTTTTCACGAAGACCCCAATAGAAATCCTTGTTTTATTCCTTGTTTTGTCATTAATGATTTGAGAATCATAACGAGATCTGACCTTTTTTAGTTCTGTGGCCACATGTTTTACCAGTGAGATTAGCGCGACACTATGAGTTCTGGCAACCCAGAACACAAACTTTCTGATTGGTAAAACGGTGGAGGGCTGGACATTGGAATGAAAACAATAACAAGATTTAGGGGCAGTAAATACAATTTTGAAATCCAAATATCTCGACTGAATTAGTCTTATCAGTTAAAGAAGTATTCGAAAAGAGCATGCTTTATTAATAACTTTTGACAGATTAGGGCCATTTACTGATGACTTGACATGAAAATCTTACATATTTCTACTTTAATTGAGTTGAATTAAAAGTTAGGTACACCAGATTTACAGCTTATAGGGGGTGTCACAAGTTTGGGACCGAAGTTTATGATATTAGTGTCCCAGGTTTGTTTTTGAGGATGGAACAATGCTCTTGTGGACTCCCCACCTGCAGAGGATCAGTGAGGGGCTGGTGCTCTGTGAAATGGGTGCAGCTCTGATTGCCACCCCGACCCAGAAATGGATTAGGGGGTAGAAAATGGATGGATGATGGATGGAACAATGTTGTTTCATGGTTAAAAGATCAAAAAGGTCGATTTACAAAATATATCTCCCAAATTAAACCACGGTTAAAGGTCAGGGATGGTTTGTGACTTTAATATGGCACTTTGCTTTTGAGACAAGGATTTACACACCATAAGAAAGCTGCTGATAGAGAATATCGATCAGAGGCATTCTAACCAGGCCACGCAGGGAGCAAATGGCTCCCTGTTGAGGGGAATTAGCTTTTCCAGCATAACGCGTGGGCTGTGAAGCTAATTATGTTCTGTGTTATAGCAGTAGCCAACAAATTGATATAAAAGTGGAGGCATTTAGCCTGTGTAATATATTTTGCACAAACTAAGCGGCTGGTAAGTACAAACAAGTCTCATCTGATCTCCTTATAGCCGAACAAACAGGCCCAGAGAGGCTGCAGCAGAGCCCACAACAAATGAGAAAATAATTGGACAGAACTTGTGTCGGCAAGTTCTTTCTTTTCTTCTTCATTCAGTGTTCTCGTAAGAAGTACATGAGAATATCTAATAGGTGAAAATTGTTTTAAAATTTTAACAAGAATGTCACAAAAATAATAATAAATCATTTGGGACAATCTAAGCTTGAAAACAGCAACAAATCAGTTCTTTATCACAGGTACAGTATAAGCAGGACTGAAGCAGATCTAAATCAGCCCTGAACATCAGGCTGATATTACAGAAAAGGCCTGTGTCTCAAGGGATCTAAAGACATGAGACATCAACTTCAGAAAATCCCAGATGATTAGACAATTATTTTGTGATTCATTTTAACTAAGTCCGATGTGTTATCAACCAATGCGATGTGTGGGCACTATGGGCACTGCATTTTTTATTCAAAATGCATTTAAAAAATAACAAAAAAAACCTTTATGGCAACTGCTGATGCGAATCACCAGGAACCATAGTGCAACTTCAGGCAAAGTTTGGTAAAGTGTCCTGCCCAAAGACAAAACGACAGTAGACATTGTGGGGGGATCAACCCCACGACCATCAGGCCCAAAGGCCAATCATCTACCAACTGAGCTGCAGTCACCCCTCATTTAGTCCTGAGGCTACAGGTCAGTTTGTGTTGAGGGAACAATGTTGTATAAATCTAGAACTGAAATGTTCTGCTTGTGTGCATTCTTTGATGTGAGAGCTGCATGCATGTTCTCCTTGTACAGCAGAATGTATGGACAGGAGCTTGGAGACCTGGTTCATGGTGAAGCGCACTCCGGTGGCCTGGATGAGCTGCTGCCAGTGCCGTGGGCGAATGGCAGGATTCTGCAGCTCAGCAACAGCTCGTAAAGATGTCAGCAGATTCTTCACCCCACTGTCCAGGCCCTCAAAGGCGTCCCAAGAGCGCACCTGAAAACACAAGCAGATCAAGGCAAACAAGAAGTATTACTCAAACAAGAGCAGCCAGTTCCAATGGAGGGGCAGACCGGGGTGATGGTCCCTCTCTTTAAGAAGGGTGTGTTCCAATTATCATGGGATCAACTCCTCAGCTCCACATCTTAAAAGGATTTTCACTTTACCAATCCTGGAGCTTTGAGGCTGTATTCGCGGGGGTCATGTATGCGTTCATATACCGTGTGTGCTAATTAGACGTATCGTCTGTATTCCTCACTACACGTGCCCCTCCCCATTCCCTATAGTGTGACAGCTAGGTCGATCCCAAGCAGCATTGCAGCCGTTTGTTTGCCCTATCCACTTTATACAGCGCCCCTGGCTGTGGCCAACAGTTTTGCTTTGACAGACATACATACGTATTTTTAGACATGTAATTCTAAAACTCTAAAAATAGGTTTGTGTGTATTTAATTATTTTTTTGTCAAATAAAACCAAATTATTCTAAAAATTTTAGAACAGGGGGCAACATTGGCTCAGTCAAATACCAATGAAATATCAGTTTTCCACCAATGAAGCTGTCAATACATGATGACCTGTGAGCACTCACCTCTTTGTTCAGGCCACGGATGTCTTTGGAGAAGCGCTTGCACTCCTGCTCCATGTCCTCCACTTGAATGTCCTTCCAGGGGGTGGTCTTCCACGCAGCCATGCTGGAGTCCACCACACTGATCAGGTCCCACAGCTCTTTGAGCAGGCCCAGCTCATGCCTTCAGCCCAGAGCAGAAAAACACATGCTCCCCATTAACACTGGCCTACAGTACATCACTCATTTCTCATTGAACATGCTGTATATTGTTTATATATAGTTGTACACACATTTTATCAGAGTTGGTTCAGTCCTGATCTCGACCAAGTTTTGACTTGCTTGTAAAACTGATGCAGTGTAATCCTGTGTAATAACCCTGCAGTGTGCAAAGCATAATGTTGATGCATCCATCATACCAAACAGTGAAACTACCACTAGTGTCTCAAAGTATTTGAGGCAAATGGGGACTCTGGTAACATTGGGCCTCATTCACGAATAACTTCGTAAGAAACTTCTTAAATTTCTACTCAAGTCGTTCTTCAGTAGATTTCTAAGAAGAGCCTACGTGGGATTCATCAACGCGCTCGTAAGCCGCTGAATTGTTCGCAGCTGTTCTCTCAGATTGATGAATGCCAACTCCTCGTAAGTAGAGCGCGCGTGCCCGGTGCTTCATTAGCATAGGTACTTAGCATAGGTAACCGCCCATTAATGCCCATATAAGGGACTGCAGGGCCGTGTGCAGACGCCAGAGGAAACAGCAACAGGCCTAAAGCAAAGAGTTACACGGAGCAAAAGAGTCACCCTTTTTTCTTCTTTTGCCAGACTGAGAATAAAGTAATAAAATGTTGACTTAAAAGTCGAAATATTATAAGAATAAAGTCGAACTAGCAAAATTATGAGATTAATCTAAAAATATGATGAGATTAATCTCAAAATGCTATGAGATAAATTTAAAAATATATTATGTATTAATTTAAAAATGTTTTGAGATTAATCTAAAAATATTTTGGACCCTGGGAGGAGATCCAGCGCGGACCAGCGCTGAGACCAATGCAGACCCGAGGAGAGACTGGAGTGACCAGCACACAGAAACCAGCGCGGACAGGAGAGACCGCATAGACTGAGAGACCTGACTGAAGAAGAGAGACCGCATAGACCAGACTGGAGAGACCAGCGCGGACCGAAGAGAGACCGCAAACCAGACTGGAGAGACCAGCGCGGACCCGTTTGGATCCAGGAGCGTGCAGCACGGACCCGTATGGAGAGACCAGTGCAGACCCGTATAGATCCATGGGAGAGACCAGTGCAGACCCGTATAGATCCATAGGAGAGACCAGTGCAGACCCGTATAGATCCATAGGAGAGACCAGTGCAGACCCGTATACAGTAGATCCATAGGAGAGACCAGCGCAGAGACTCAGAGCGGACCCCGCAGCCTCCTGCAGCAGCAGTATATATTCCATTGTTCTGTGGCCCGTGGATAAAGAAATGCCCCCTATAAATAGGATGGGGTCACTACTGTAATACACGGCATGATTTCCAATGTATTTGATAAAGCGTTGGCACATTTCATTTCAAAATGAATTAAAAAATAGGCTAAATTACCATTAACATTTAAATAAATAAATACATACATCAATATGACGGACATATCACTGGAATGTTGTATTTTTATTAAACTTCACCAAAGAGGACAACCCCGGCGTGTGAACATGTCGGCACTGAATGCGTACGAGTGCTCCTGAGGACTCGTAGGATTTGTACTTGCCCAAGAGAAATTCTGGTTACGAGAAAAATTTGTGAATGCCACTTTCTTCGTAAAAACCTCGTAAGTAGGATTTACGTACAAATCTGTTCCTAAGAACCGTTCGTGAATGAGGCCCATTGTGCTGGAATCAGAGTTTGTCAAATGTATTTAATCTAAAATTCTCTTCATATTGCCATCCATCCATTTTCATCCGCTGCCGGGACGTGGGGGCAGCAGTGTAAGCAGAGACGTCCCTCCCCACACACACTTCCTCCAGCTTCGAAATTAGCTCTATAGCTACATAGCTACAATCTGATAAATGTACAGCTCCTGCTGATCATTAAAACGCATTAATGAAGTCATTAATACACATGCTTGTCTAGATCTTGTTGACAGCTCTACTGTGTAAATAATTTGCAGCATATGCTCCTTGAGCTCCTTTACTGTATGTGCACTACACTACAAAGGGTGTAAAGGAAGACTAGAATCCACAGTTGGCTGATAATAATTTCATATTGAATAGTTTATCTGATTTCTTAAATATAGTCATATTATAAGAAAAAACTGAAAATGTATAATAGTTAAATCAACAACACTCCATATGATATTGACTTGTGTATTTTCTACATTCTGCTGAGTCTGGACATGGACCACTCACATGTTCTGATAATCCACAAGTCACTTTACCAGCTATTGTACTGCATTATTAGAATATTACATAATCCATTAATCTGATCATTATGTTCAGATAATCCACTAGTCACTTTATCTGCTGCTATTATTACAATTGTTTATTCTGGTCGTATTCTCTGCTGCTAAAGTACAAAATAAACATATGTAAATACCTCCTGATGCTGCTGACTAGTGACTTATCCTTGAACCAAATGCAATAATAGCTCCAGAGTTTTATTTTATCATTCTATTACCTAATATCTCTAATAATAGATTCTGTTTGATGCGTATAACCTGAGTGCTCTTATTTTCTTGATTTTTGTTTAGTTTCTTTCTGTTGTAATGTGCAACTATGACATTGGACTTACTGTATCTTGTCCATTAGTCATCCCTGAATCAACAGCTGTAGTGTTCTGACCTGCACTGGAGCAGCTGTCTGAAAGGAGGCAGCGTGAGCTCGAAGACGCCCGCAGACTGCAGCAGAGAGTCCATGAGCGCCTCACGCTCACTTATCTGCTCCTGGAAGGACTCCAGCAGCTGGTACGGACGGTCACAGTCAAATCTGAGGGCACAGACGAGAGTGAGTGTGGTTCTCCCAGGACAGGAGGGACATAGTGGCGCAGCGGTTAGTGCTCGCTTCTTATCAAGAAATACATTTTGCCAAACTTGAGCAATTTTTCGACTTATTTTGACTCTTTTTGCAGTGACACCTTCCCCAAACCAGGCCTTTCTGTGAGTGTAGGGTTTGACATCCGCCTTCAGTGTGGCTGAACTGCTCCCTTAACTGTGTGGAGTGAGAGGAAAAATCACCCACAAAAATCTTTGAGAGCATTGTGACTTTCAGTCTGTGAAAGGCACTTACAAACTCTAAAGCACTTATCTCAGCACGCAAAAAAATGACTGTTATGAAGCAAAGACAGTGACAAGCAGCTAATAGGACACTAGCACTAGAATTCTGAAACTACTAAAACTCCCATAGCGGTCATTTTTGGAAGGCATTTCTAAAAATTCCCAGAAAAATTAGTAAGTTCTCCATCAGTTATATTGAAGTAATCTTTAAGGCGTTTAAATGCTAAAACTGGTGATTACAACTTGAAATACATAAAGAAAATCAGTCAGTGCAACAACATACTATTTACATGCTAAATGGTAGCATGTAAATAGTATGTTGCTATGGTATCTAAAAATGGCTATTCTCTGGTGGAAAACCATGGAGGTCTGGGAGTTACAGGTAGAACTAGATAAGTTAATTTTTTTTTAAATTACGTAGAAAAAGAAAAAGTCACAAAGTTATGAAGACCAAAGATGTAAATACACAGTAATTACACTTCCAAAACTAAAATCCTCAAATTGACTGCTCTGGGTGTTCTAGTATTAAACCCATCCATCCATTTTCTTCCGCTTCATCCGTAGTATTAAACCATGAGTGTGGAATGTATATATTCCCATGATTCTAATGTTTGACCATATTCTTTCCATTCAAATAGACCCACCCTGTTGTCATTTTGACCATTTCAATATCTCTTCCTTGCTAAACCACAACAATGGTGCATGTGAGGGTCAGTGTGAGGCTTCCATGACATGAATGAAAACATTATCAGTGACTAATTTAAGACTAATTTACTCACGCAACTAATCCGACAATTACATCAGATCTCCACCTATGACTCTATTATCACTATGATGAAATTGAATTAGCCTCGAGTCTGGAGGTGACCACAGTTATCCCAACACTGAGCAGTTCATAAAGACTATTAATGGTGGCTATTGACGACTGGGGCTGTCACCAAACAAAATGAAAATGCACTGCCTCTTAAAATATGTATACACAGTGAGGCAGGAATGACAACCCCTGAAGTCTGGTTACTTAAAGCGTCCCGTCTTACTAAAAACATTCGACAACTCAGTGTTAGAGTGACTATAGAGGTAATTCAATGTGATCTGTGTCTGTAATTTTGGTTTCTGTGTTTTTAAAAACTACCTCCTACATACATTTTCCTAATCACTGAAAACCACACTGTCGACAATTTCTGTTTTTGTTTCATTGTTGAACATAGTTGAACACAAAAATGGGATACAGGCATTGAGAGTATATTAGGATCACCATAGTGTTTGCCAAATGCAGAAGAAATCAATTGGAGGGAAAAAGTCTTATATGGGCATTTCTTCCGCCTCAATAGCTTTGCACAGTAACAAGGGCAAACGAGTTGCTAAGACGGTTGCTAAGGCAAGCTGGATTATATCTGAATTTACAGACAATATCAAGATCACAGGATCATAGAGGGGGCACAAAACCACAGATTTTACAGGCCCCAAATGGTGAGTGTGCCACAAACGGCTACTAAACGAGAGGAGTGCCGAGCTCCAATCATGTCAATGGGAATCAAAACTAGTTCCCTATAAACACTTCCTTATTGGGATTCATTGAGCTAGCGTTAGCATTGTCCATCTACGTAGCGTCTATGGATACAGCCCTTTACATGTAATATTCCCACGACACACTTACTGTAGAGTTGTTCCTTGTCGATGCAGGATGGTCTAAGGTGGTGATGATCCAGGACACTCAATATTCAACATTTATGGACCTTTATCGACATTTACAGACATTGGTCATCTGCCCCTCAAGGACCAATGGCGTTATGTGTTTTGTATCATTGCATTTCTTGTGTTTGAGCTGTTTGATTCTCTGATCTGTGTTGGTGAATTCAACGGTTCGAGATGACTACTGTTGTAATTTAGTAATATACAAAAATAAATTAAAGTGAATTGACTGCGCTGTGCTAGCACCTGAAGGGTCCATCATGGCGGAAACGTTCTCGGAATGCATGCTGCTCCACGTCAAAGGAAGTGCACTGTTGCCGCAGACTTGTCACTTGGATGGCCTGCAGTGGCGCCACCTGCTGTTTGACAAGCACACTCTGTTTCTTCAGATTGTTCCACTTCTCCGGCAGCTCCTAGAGGACCAAAACAAAAACACTTTCAGATTTGTGTGGGGGATTACGGGGGAGCAGACACATGGAAGAGCCACTATGAGGGATGGCTTGTTTGTGATTAGATTTACAATGTATTTCAGAATTCCACAGTCTGAAACATTTGAAGCATTTTCCAAAACCGAAATTTCCTTTTTGAAAATGTGTCAAAAAGTTATATTCCTCTCGCTATAAAGTCCAACATGTTTTGTTGGCAGTGCATTTGAAAGGATTTGCTCAAGAACGGGTGAAACTTCATATAAAAAAGTAAAAAATCGCTTTCAACTCCCTCCACAGATTTTCAATGGGGTTAAGGTCTGGAGACTCGCTAGGCCACTCCAGGACTTTCAAATGCTTCTTACGGAGCCACTCCTTCGTTGCCCGGGCGGTGTGTTTGGGATCTTTGTCATGCTGGAAGACCCAGCCACGTTTCATCTTCAAAGCTCTCACTGATGGAAGGAGGTTTTGGCTCAAAATCTCACGATACATGGCCCCATTCATTCTTTCCTTAACACGGATCAGTCGTCCCTTAGCAGAAAAACAGCCCCAAAGCATTACATTTCCACCCCCATGCTTCACAGTAGGTATGGTGTTCTTGGGATGCAACTCAGTATTCTTCTTCCTCCAAACACGGCGAGTTGAGTTTATACCAAACAGTTCTACTTTGGTTTCATCTGACCACATGACATTCTCCCAATCCTCTGCTGTATCATCCATGTGCTCTCTGGCAAACTTCAGACGGGCCTGGACATGCACTGGCTTCAGCAGGGGGACACGTCTGGCACTGCAGGATTTGATTCCCTGTCGTCATAGTGTGTTACTGATGGTAACCTTTGTTACTTTGGTCCCAGCTCTCTGCAGGTCATTCACCAGGTCCCCCCGTGTGGTTCTGGGATTTTTGATCACCGTTCTCATGATCATTTTGACCACACGGGATGAGATCTTGTGTGGAGCCCCAGATCGAGGGAGATTATCAGTGGTCTTGTACGTCTTCCATTTTCTGATAATTTCTACAATTCTTTTCCTGGCGTCCTTCGACAGCTCTTTGGTCTTGACCATAGAGTTTGGAGTCTGACTGTTTGAGGCTGTGGACAGGTGTCTTTAATACAGATTACAAATTCAAACAGGTGCCATTAATACAGGTAGCAAGTGGAGGACAGAAGAGCTTCAGGTCTGTGAGAGCCAGAGATCTTCCTTGTTTGAAGTGACCAAATACTTATTTTCCACAATAATTTACAAATAAATTCTTTAAAAATCCTATAATGTGAATTCCTGGATTTTTTTTTACTTTCTGTTTCTCACAGTTGATGTGTACCTATGATGAAAATTACAGACCTCTGTCATTATTTTAAGTGGGAGAACTTGCACAATCGGTGGCTGACTAAATACTTTTTTGCCCCACTGTACATATTGTACATATTTTTTGTCCGATTTTAAAGTATCAAGTGGAAAGAACGTGCCAGAGCAACACCATTGTATTTAAACAACACATATGATACAAAACTGTTCATTCATGAAAAATGACTGTACCTCCATCCACACTGATGTGTGGAACTTTTGTGGCTCGGGCTGAATAAAGAAAAGCAAAGGGTTTTCTTCGCAGGGCTCAGGACGGCAAAAAAAATGGCAGTGTCTCCGGAGTGGGTCATGATATACTTTATAGAGAATGTATATTTGAGATGCACACACGTGAGCGTAAAAAATACTTTAGAGAGTGAAAGAAGACAAAAGTAATGTCTAGTAATTATGGAGGACCAAAAATGACTAAAGTATAAATAAATAAATAAATACAGGAATATATTAATAAATACATTCATTTTGGACAATAAAAACTAAATATTTACATTGATGTGTTAAATATTACTATGAAATCAAATAAATATACTTTTATTTAGGTTATTTATCAATATCTACATTTTTTCCTTTATTTATTTATCCATTTATTGCATATATTTATTTATGTATTTCTACATTCCTTCATTTATTTATTTATGTATTTCTACATTTCTTCATTTATTTATTTATGTATTTCTGTGTCGCTACATTTCTTCATTTATTTATTTATGTATTTCTACATTTCTTCATTTATTTATTTATTTATTTATGTATTTCTGTGTCGCTACATTTCTTCATTTATCTATTTATGTATTTCTACATTTCTTCATTTATTTATTTATGTATTTCTGTGTTGCCGTATGCAAATTAGGCGGGCGGTGCTGAACTCAATCAATAGCAGGATTGGTGGGCAGTAGGTCAGCCAGGGCAACCAGACAGAAGCAAAGTTAGCCTTCTCGGTTTGTGAGAGGATGTGAAGCTGCTGTATAGCTTGTTGAAGAGCGTCCAGCACAGTTGCATCAAAGTCTACCTCTGGGTCAGCACTGTGATGAACGAAAACATCTATAGTCTTTCCAGCCGAAAGAGTAGATAGTCCTCAGGTGCATTATGCTCAACATCATTAACATCATTTGCTAATGCTCTTAATTGATGAGCAATGGCTCCTAAAAAACGTACATTCAAAACTGCCATCATACCACACAAAAGTGCACAGAGGATCTCTAGCTAGCTAACAGAGTACCGTAATGTGAGGCAGTAATGATCGAGACCAGAGTTCACGCAATCCTAACCAATCCTGTTCTAGATTGAGTTCAGCACCGCCCACCTAATTAGCATACAGGAACACAGAAATACATAAATAAATAAATGAAGAAATGTAGAAATACATAAATAGATAAATGAAGAAATGTAGCGACACAGAAATACATAAATAAATAAATGAAGAAATGTAGAAATACATAAATAAATAAATGAAGAAATGTAGAAATACATAAATAAATAAATGAAGAAATGTAGAAATACATAAATAAATATATGCAATAAATGGATAAATCCAATGGATAAATCCATAAATAAAAGAATAAAATCACAAGTTTTTTCATTACTTGTGATTTTATTCTGTTTTTAATGTATTTATTGATGTCTCTGATTTGTCTGATATTATGTGGGTTGTGAGGCGCTTTGAGTGGCCTTGTGTTGGAAAGGCGCCATACAAATTAAGTTGATTGATTGATTGATTGATAAATAAATAAAGGAAAAAATGTAGATATTGATAAATAACCTAAATAAAAGTATATTTAGGTAACACTTTACATTACGGGCCGGTAAGTCCATGGTACTTACAGTGGTACTTCTAGGTACTTACAGTGGTACTTCTAGGTACTTATTGTGGTACTTACAGAGGTACTTACAGTGGTACTTCTAGGTACTTATTGTGGTACTTAGAGGTACTTACAGTGGTACTTATTGTGGTACTTACGGTGGTACTTCTAGGTACTTATTGTGGTACTTAGAGGTACTTACAGTGGTACTTATTGTGGTACTTACAGTGGTACTTAGAGGTACTTATTGTGGTACTTACAGTGGTACTTCTAGGTACTTATAGAGGTACTTACAGTGGTACTTAGAGGTACTTACAGTGGTACTTACAGTGGTACTTCTAGGTACTTATTGTGGTACTTCTAGGTACTTATTGTGGTACTTACAGAGGTACTTACAGTGGTACTTCTAGGTACTTATTGTGATAATTCTAGATACAGCTGTAACTTAGCTGCTGTATCTCCCCCTGCTGTCTGTTCGGAATACAGCACTTGCAAGTTTGCTTACCTCAGTTTGTAATAGTGTTTACCAAAATGGGTTCAACTTAAAAGAAAAGAAACAAATACTAAGGCAAATAAAAAAATTATACAAATTTAATGGGGTAAGTTATTACTGGGGGCCACAAGATAATTTCAGATGGTTTCACGACATGCCCCCCGAGCCGGATACATGTAGCAGTTCTCGTTCTCGCGGTGACAACCTGCTGTACAGGTGACATCCAAGACGAGACTACTGTCCGATCATCGTGAGTGCTGTAGGTGCGCACGGTCGTGTTCAGAAACCTACACAGACATTTGTAAGGTTAATTACATGTCAGTGCCAGCGGAAAAAGCAGAGAAGACCCTTGTCTGAGATTCGGACCGTGAGGGAGCAGGCTCCCACGAGTCCATCTGGGGAAGGTATTGGCGAATGGAGAGAGCTTAAAGAAAGGTAAAGGTGCAAAACAGACATAGGCCATGCGATGTTGTAATTTCACTTGTAAGTCTAAACTATAATGACCTTCGCCTGTGTCAAAGGTGTGGGATAACTTTTAAGTGGCCCATGGCTATGTAGCGTTAGCCGTTTAGCTACCAGACGCCATTAACATGCTGCTGATTCTCCGGTGGATACACCGGTGTCGAATAGATATGAATGTAAAAGCCACATGTTTGTGCTTGCTACGATGCAGGCAGTTTGTCAAGTTGTGATTCGTAAGTTGTTACAGTGATTTGTAGGTGGCAGTTTAGCCATGCGTGCAATAATATGGTACGAGTTCAGCAAGCGGAGCGTTAGTGGTATGTTTACTACTGTAAATGCCGAAGGACTGTCATAAATGAAAATGTTTGCGTCCGAATATAACGGAAGGGTTAGATTTATGTTCAATTGTAATCGTTGCATACTGCTTGTAGTGTAGTAATTCAAATTTTACGCGGGAGGCTAACGCGCATGTGCGTTAATGCATCTATCCATCGTGCTGGTATTATCTAAAATGTAGTGTGCAGAAATGTATTTTTGGAACAAAACGGGGAGACAAGAGTTGTTGAAAGTGCGCAAATTAGTCATTTATTCACAGATAGTCGGAGTAACACGGATTAAAGAGAACACAAATGAAGAGATATGGTGTGTGACTCTGTGTTGAGTTGAAAATGAGTGGTGTTTGAAGACCACGACCAAAAGTATTGCCATGTAATACCCCCACTCTGATAATTAGAAATGTAGATAATATCAACACAAATACCATTGAATAAAAGTAGTGTTTTGATTTGATCTTTTACGTGACTTACTTTGTTTCTTGACCGTAATTTACAAATGTATGCCGTTTCAAATTGTATTGAATAATCCATACATATGTGTATATTAATATTATATTGTTCTTCTCTTGACATCAATGTGCATCATGGGAGGTGGCGCAGATTGTAGAGGAGGACGGCGGCCAAAGGATGGCATATGTACTTGGACATAGAGACAGAGGGAGGACCAACCGTGTGCCACCTTTCATGCAATAGTACTGTGAGCTCACAGCACTGGAGCCGACATGTCAGCTGCACCCTGCCACAGCAAGTAAGGCATAAAAAACACAAACAACGGAGACCATGTCTCTACACACCAGACAGTAACTATGATTGTACCAAAAGCACAATGATATGAGAGCATAAACGAATTGTCTATGTAGCAACGCACATAATATTACTATAGTAGTAGTGTTACCCAACTGGCTTCAGTCTGTGTTTGAAAGACCGCGTGTGAATGTGGGCCAATGAACCAGTTAGGACACTTTACAAAAGTAGGCCTCAGAATGCTCAGCGCGTTCTGTCATTGTCGCTAATGCAAACTTTCGAAAAAACTTGATCAGATTAACAATATTAAATATTAATATGCTAATAAAGTCGAGGTTGTTAACACATGTTCTGCTTTTAATTATCAGGTCGAGAGAACAACAACAATGAGCACAAAAAAAAGTAAGTAATAATGATGTCCACATGCTGTTAATAAATGCATGGTTGTAGCCATGGATTTATTTATTGTAGGTAAAGGTAAATGTTTAATGAGCACAGGAACTGAACCTTAGTATTTGTAAAATCTTGGCTACAGTCCTGGCTAATAATTTTTCAACATGTATTTTACCTTTTTCTTGCAGAGGCAAACTTTGAACAATGCCATGGCGGTGGAGTGAAGAATGATGACTGAATGGTTTTCTAAAGTCCACAAGCCAGTGCTCTTTTCCCCTGGCTGACAAGTCATCAAAAGCAGAAGAATCAGACAGAGCATGCATCAAACATGCATGCAAATCTGTCGCCTTTCATGGAAATTCACCATTTTGACGTGGGAAAATATAATTCACATGACTCATCTAAATCTGCAATATAAAAACAGGAGGGGGGAGGGCATAAACTGCACTGGTTGAGCCACGGACAGTAGGCCAATACACTAAATTGCATGTTTACCTTTATTGCCGCTTGGATTCATGAAGTAGTGATGGGCAGCGGGCTAATGCATCAGCCTACGCTACAAAGTTGCATTGACGCAGCGCACCTGTGCATGAGACATGAGCACCGAATCTAATGTAGGTTTTCCAATGATAATTAGTATTGGACAATAGCGGCATGAAATGTGAGTGCAAGCCAACCTATAAAGGTAACGGATAGCTATAATTTACCGTTTGGTGGAGGCTTAACTGACCAGGTAGATGCTCATGTCCCCGTGCGTGCTCTGCGCTCGCTTTTATGAGCAATCGCGGTCAGCGAGGCGTGTGGTCATTGTGTGCTTTTGATGTGATTTATGCTCATCAGAGATGTGAACTTGGCAAATTTACTAAAACTGAACCAAAGTCTACACCGTTGTGGGCTCACAACTATTCAACTATCCTTTTACACCATGTTTGTGTTTGCATGTCGGTTTAAAATAATGGATACACACACTAGATGCTGGTCAAATTTGTTAAAGTCCTTTGTCTTAATATGGGCCAGTACTATGGTAAGTACCTGGTACTTGCTGTATAATTACTGGTGTTATCATAAGTACTTGTATTGAAGTTATTTGTCTTAATATGGGCCAGTTCCTATGGTAAGTACATGGTACTTACCGGTAAGTACCTGGTACTTGCTGTATAATTACTGGTATTATCACTGGTACTTATGGTTAAGTCCTTTGTCTTATTATGGGCCAGTTCCTATGGTAAGTACCTGGTACTTGCTGTATAATTACTGGTGTTATCACTGGTACTTATGGTTAAGTCTTTGACATATTACTAAGTCATTTGTATGTGGCCAAGTCCTTTGTCTGTGGCTAGTACCAGGTACTACCTGGTACTTACTGTATAATTACTGGTGTTATCACTGGTACTTATGTTAAAGTCCTTAGTCTTATTATGGGCCAGTCCCTATGGTAAGTACCTGGTACTTACTATATAATTACTGGTGTTATCACTGGTACTTATGTTAAAGTCCTTTGTCTTATTATGGGCCAGTCCCTATGGTAATTACCTGGTACTTACTGTATAATTACTGGAGTTATCACTGGTACTTATGGTTAAGTCCTTTGTCTTATTATGGGCCAGTCCCTATGGTAAGTACCTGGTACTTGCTGTATAATTACTGGTGTTATCACTGGTACTTATATAGAAGTTATTTGTCTTAATATGGGCCAGTTCCTATGGTAAGTACATGGTACTTACCGGTAAGTACCTGGTACTTGCAGTATAATTACTGGTATTATCAGAGGTGTGGACTCGAGTCATGTGACTTGGACTCGAGTCAGACTTGAGTCATGATTTTGATGACTTTAGACTCGACTTGACCAAATGTAAAAAGACTTGCAACTCGACTTGGACTTTAACATCAATGACTCTGACTTTCACTTGGACTTGCGCCAATTGACTTGCAAAGACTTGCGTAACCCGGGCCATTTTTACCTTTCTCCGCATCTCTCTTTCTATCTATGCCGTCTCTGAAGAAACAAAGCCTCGCGGTAGTTGTAGCGCTCGCGAGAGAGTTCGAACGTGAGTTCCCCGCAGTTCGCGCACTGCATTCACCGGTGGGTGTGTTGTCTAGGGGAGCTGGAAATGAGCGAGCTGCAGGTATTTATCGCGACCTAACGTCATATTTTGTTCTACAAACCGTAATTGATATGCTTTCACTACAGGCGCCTCATACAAATGGAGCTTTCGCGAAAGTTCACCGTGGTAGACCCGGCTGCTGCTGCCAGGCCACAGGCTGCTCTTCCTCGACTCATCAATACCAGCAACGCCCACACCCAGTCAACCAATAACCACCGGGACAGGCAAGTTAAAAGCCGGAGACGCCCTTCAGAAATGTATTTAATGACTGCAAATAAAATAGTTAGCTCCCAAATGTTTCACCGGGACGTGCTAGGCAGGTAACAGCTAAGCTAGCTAGCTGTTTCTCGGTAACTTCCGGGTTTTTCGCAATCGCTTTTTGTCACATTAAAACAGTATTTTTGTCATGAAAACGTTGACAGCAAATTCTGAAACAGTCCGTGCATGTGTGTTAAGGATGTATATGTGTACTGTATTGTCCGATTAACGTTTAATGGTGTTGATTGATAGATATGTATTTGTTTATTGAGCGTGGCCAGCTCCGCTAGCTTCTCTACACAGACAAGTGTGCAGAAAAACTGCACGATGTAGTGACAGGCGCTGATAGCTTGTTGTACTTGCAAAGTAATGGCAGTATTTTACAAACCTGAATTACATCAGAGATTGTATTGGGGCTGCGGTCATTATTGTTAGAGTTCTGTTATCAAGAAAAAATGATCGGAAGAATTGCATTCAAGTCAATGGAGTGCTGCTGCTGTGAGGAGCTGTATAATAAATTATAATTAAATATTAGAATATATTCTAATGTTTAAATTAATACATTCGGACGTGAAACTAATGGTATTCTTTTACTTATATATTGTGTTAGCAGTGCATTGCTTTAGTACCATTTCATCAGTGATTGTTGCACAGCTTACATGTACAAGTTGCGCTAATGCTAATGTTAGCATACGTATCAGATCGCAAATAAAACTAGGTGGTTCTGTGTTATGAGAGCGCAGGAGAAATGAGAAGCCTGTGAGCGAGGTGGGGGGCGGTGCTAAACATTCAAACATTGCAGAAACGGGTATAGCGCCTTTAAAGCCCTGGGGTCAGCTTGACATTTAAAACATAAAATCTATGTCTAAATTTGGCAAAATAAAAAATGTGTTTATAAAATGGTTTTAAAATAACGTCGAAGTAGTTAAATTGATCCAAATGTTATTCCCGTTGATTTGAATTGTTGGGTAAGTCAATTCAATTCAGTTTACTTCATCCACTTGGGGGACTTTAAAATGTTTTCAATTTACCAAAAACAGACCAGAGAATCAAAACATTTATTCATAGGAAATGCCCATAAAAGGTCCTTAAATGAGAATGGTTGACCCTGTGGACCTGCCCTGCTTCTGTCAGTCTGCCCTAAGGCCGCTTTGGCTATCATACAGTAGTTAAATAATAAACAAATACAATCTTGGATGCATGCAGACGCACTGCACTCATTATCAGTGTGATTTACTGTGTTTTCTGTTCAAGATTAGCATGATTTATTGTGTACTGTACAAGTGTCTATTTATTCTGTGTCTGTCCCTCCTCAAATAATAATAATAATAATAATAATAATAATAATGAGAATAATGAGAATAATAATAACGATAATCTGTATGAAATAAAAATATTAATTTCCCATGTATTTGAAAAGAGAGCTGCCTGCTGTGGTGCGCGGTGCTTTACCTCACAGCGTAGGTCATGCGGTCAGGCCTCAGCGCCCTCATCACACACAGCCTCTGCAGAGCCGTCTTGTTCTTCCACTCCTGAGGCAGAGGCTCCTTCTCTGGACATTCCGACTCCACCAACTTCCTCCAGCGTTTGGACGAGCCCTCGATGTCTCGGTCCAGGTTGCGGAAGTCGTCCATGGCGCACAGCGACTGCCCACAGAGACCAGCGCAGCACTTTATCACACACGCGACCACCATTGATTCATAAACATTTTCCACAATACACAACAAAGGAAAGGACTGCGCTTGCACAAGTCTGGGGGATAAATAAAAGCAACAAAAGCCAACAGAACTGCTTATCTGTCTAATATAAATAATCTTTATTCGGGGAAAGTGCTGAGCAGACACGACGTGGGCAGAGCAGAGGGGGGAGGGGAGGGAGAGGGGGGAGGCGTCTGAAGTTCATCTGACTGACACAGCATCAGATGAGCACTACACAAGGTACACACACACGCACACAATTGCACATACACCCATTCACACACACACACACGCATAAAAAAAGCGAACTCACACACACAAACGCACATACACACACACACACACACACACAGATAAATGTCCACACGCACACACCCACCCAAACAAACGCACATTCACTCACCCACCCACCCCCACAGACACACACCCACACATCAGCAAACATACCCACACACACACAAACAAACATACACTCACACACACATACCACACACAGATACATACACACATACACGCACATTCTTGTACACTTTCTGGCAATGTACCAATGACGACAGACCTACTTTTCTGTTTTTTAACATTTAAAGACACACATTATGTCAAATTACCTCTGTCATGTTATATCATTGTTCCCTCAAAAAAAAAATCTCCATCCATCCAGATAACAGAGCTTGCACTTTTTCTAAGACGTTTTTTACTTTTTTAGACAATATAAATTATCTCCTAGCATGAAACAATACACCAAAGTCACAGTTCTATAGATATTGCGATACGAGGGTAATAATTCAGTCGGTTCTTTTGATTATGATTTCGGTTCTCTGTTTGTTGTTTTTAACAAGCAAAAATACAAGAAATAGGGGTAACACTTTAGATTAGCCCTCATTAGTAAACCTCTAACTAAGTGCTAATTAGTGTACCCTCACCCACATGGGGAAATGTCAGTTAGTAGTTAGTTAGATGCTGAATAAGGCCATGTAGAAAAAGACTAAAGTGCTTCATAAATACCAATGGCTAATCAATCATAAAGGATACTCTAGCTAGCACTTAATTAGCCGTTTCACAGTGATCCGCCAGTCCTAAACCCAGAGACATGAGCAGTGAGTCTGAGTCTAAGTGTTTTTATAAAAGGCTAAAACAAAACAACATCAACAACAGAAGGACAGGGATGAGAAATACAAACAATATTTCATTCGATACAACCAATCAAATGAAAGAGGGCGTGTCCAACAAGTCCATAAAATATTGAGAATTGTTCCATCCCTACTACTTTGACTTTTTTGATTATAGTGAAATAATGGACCAGACTGTGGTCCCCATGTCGAGTGTGTGTAGTTCTCGTCCCCACACTGTCATGAATACCTGCGCGCACATCTCTTCTGCAGAGACACACTCGTTTCACTGAGAGTGGAGGACACTTTCTACTTCACTTAAAATCCTGCTCCTTTTAAAGCAGTTGTAGAGTTGTTTTTAATCCACTACATTATTGAAATGCGTCTGACTCTGGCTCTGAGTGCTGCTCAGTTTAGTTTGGTTTAGAGTCAAACAGTTCCGTGGCACAAACGGATAATAGTCAAAGGTCGTACACGATCGTTCATCAGTTCCTAAATGTGTTTCCCACGCGACGCACTCAACATGTGACAAGTGATTATAGGACTTTTGTAGTGCTGTAGTTTTTCTGCTTTCTATTAGAATGCATAATTGCCAAAAAGTGGTCCTAAAAATTTACAGAACTGTTTCTACTGTTTCCTCTCTGATGTAACATGAGAACTCCCAGAGCAGTCAATCAGACAGCTTTTAATTCTGAAAGTGTGATTTATCAGCTTATGCACATTTTTGGCCTCCCTTTCTCTGTTTTTTTTTTACTTTTTTTTATTTTTTTTAAAGATGTGATTAGTTCTATCTTTAACTCCAAGACATGGCAACCAATTTTCTTTGGCAGTTGAGATCCTAATTTAAGATGCCGGTTCTGGACTGGGCATATAGGTTCCGTCTAGACTGGTTCTGGGCTGGTCCTGTACTGGGTCTGGTTTTCTAAGAGAGAAGAGTAAGTTATTCTGCTCATATTCATATTCTCATATTCTACGCTGCTAATGTACAATATACACATCTGTAGATACTTCTGAATCAAGTGTAATTATAGCCCAGAGTTTATCTTATTTTATTCTTTATCTTAATTTTATAGTCTTTTATCTTAAATAATAGACCCGATTTGATGTGTGCAATCTGAGTGCTCATATTTCCTTCTTTCTCTGCTGTAATGTGCGCAACGATGACACTGAAATTTCTCCACTGCGAGACGAATAAATTAAAAATAAACATTACGTTTAGAGCATACATTAATTCAAAACCCCTTGTATCCTAATGTCCTTGACTCACAGTGTCCCTGTTGTACTTTGGGGAATAATCAATGTATTTCTGTCACTCCAGTGTTCTATTCCTACATTGTTTTCGCTGGTGTCAGGGGGCTAATTGAGGATTAGAAAACCTCTATGTAATGCTGCTGGAACTAAATCTTTAAAACTGGCCCTGGCAGTAACATAATACAAAATCAAGTTTTTTGGGCTTACGACATTGTTCATCAGTCACAGACCTGAAGTTGTTTTTAGATCCATTCATTCTACTACCTGCAACTTCTGGCACATGTAACTAACATGTAACATGTCCAACATAAGTTCTTTATTCCAACTCACAGGCACCTTTTTACGCAGGAGGTTTTAGATGAATGAAGGTTTGGTGTCAATCTCTTATCTCCCCCTGTACCCATCTCCATACTCTCTCTCCTCTCCTCTCCTCTCACCCCTTCCATGTCTTCCTCAATGTCAAAAGCTGTGATTGTCTGAGCAGAAGAACTGAGCAGACCAAGGGGACAAACTGACTAAATAAAGTGACAGTGGACACATGCGATTCTATGTTGCACAGTCTGACGTTGGTTAAATTTATTGCACAGATGCACGACCTGTGAGGTCAGGTCAACAGTCTTTGCTAGTCCTCATTGTTCGTTGTACAGTCTGACTGCAGCAGGAAGGAAAGGGACTAAACACACACTAAAATCAACTGGAACAAATCTACAAATCTAAACGGCTTCTCAGCAAGAAGGTCCTGGGTTCGAATCCCAGTCGGAACAGGGCCTTGCTGAGTGGAGTTTGCATGTTCTCCCTGTGTCTGCGTAGGTGTCCTCCAGGTGCTCCGGTTTCCCCTACCATTAAAAACATGCACAATAGGTCTGAATGTAAATGGGAGAGTGAATGAATGGGGTTTGGTCAGAGGCTTTGATGGTCCAGTGTGTTCGGCGTCTCGCTTCCGTCATCACCGTGTGGAGAGAATGGAACAATTTTGGAACTCTGAACATTGTAAAGCGCTTTGGGTGACCTTGGTCTGTAAAATGCGCGATATAAATAAACATTACAATTCATTTTGGGTTTTACTGTATACTATCTTGATAATCCATCCATCCATTTTCTTCCCCTTAATCCATTTCTGGGTGGGGGGGGGGTGGCAGTCAGAGCTGCACCCAGTACACTAAGCACCAGCCCCTCACTGATCCTCCTGCAGGTGGTGAGTCCACAGGAGCTGAGATCTTTCAGCAGGGGCTTGAGGCAAAGTGGGGTTAAATGTCTTGCCCAAGGACACAACGACAGCAGTCATCAGTGGGAGTTGTGAAGTAGGTCTTACGGTGGGCTCGAACACACAGCCTTCAGGCTCAAAGGCCATTGCTCTACCAACTGAGCCACTGTCGCCCCCACTGTCTTGATAATATGATCTCTAATTCACTTCAATTGGAATCAAACTGGGAAATCATAGAAACAGAATATCGTCTGAGTGACCCCAAACTATAGCACAATAATATGTACGCACTCACACCAGGACATGAATTTCTTCCTGCGAATAATAGCATAATTCCCTTGGCGCGCCCATCCAGACTGACCCCGCTCGCACAAGTAGGAAAAACACTTTTGAATAATCTCTGTTTGAAAACAACCATCCATCTTTACACGCTCCATCTATTTGTAAATGTGCAAGGTGAATCGACGCAGACGCCGATGCATCTGCAGATCCACAAATATCCTGAGACGGCAACAAAAGCTGTGAAATCAAAGTGTGCTGCTGGAGAAAGTGTGGCCTCTGCATAAAAGTTTGTGGCACGTTTAAAAGGACTGGGCTGGAGGGAAACACACCTAAAGAGCACATCGATCTGTGCGGGAGGCAGCGCACACTCTGCTCGGCGGGATAATTACCTCCCCACTCACACGCCGGCTCGCCTATTGTCTCCTGTTCTTTCCTCCGGACCGATTATTTATACAGTATCTCGCAAAAGTATTCATACCCCTAAAACGTCTACACATTTGGTCACGTTATGGCCACAAACACACAGGTGAAAATTAGAATGCTGTTCATAAATTCACCGATTTTTGTAACGTAACAGGAAAGAAAGAAAAGCCGACATTTTTGGGCTGGTTTTTACAAGCTGCAACATAATATTTGTATTAGTTATGAATTATAGTATACTATAGGGAATCTATATTAGTTTCACATTGTAAGCTGAATCTAAAATTAAATGTACTCTACTTTTGAGTGCGCTGGAAATGGCAGCAAGTCGTAAGCAGCTCTGATAAAGTCATTTCAATTGTTATTTTTCTTGCCTTTTTCTAGCTTTAAATTTTACTTTGTACAGTGTTCATGGTTTTACACTGATTCAGACCAGAGGAGAGACGATTCACAGTCCGAACAAAAAAGATCAAGCAGAAATCCACTGGTAGAATGCTATTTTTTTCTATAAAATGTTAATAAAGCACTCAAATTTTACTCTGAACCAAAGCAGAGAAGCTGTTCCACGAAAATGGAGAGAGGTACAAGGAGTTGACCCGTGTGGTGGTTGAGAGCGCGGTGGGATCACAACGGAGAGTGTTACAGGTCGAACATCAGCTTAAAAATCTTGC